CGGCAGGCCCTCCTGGAAGACCCGCCACCGGGAGGCTGACGTACCCCATCTCACTCTAGCGCGCCGGTCGCTGAGTAGGGCCCTGATCCAGCGTGTGGCGCAGCCCGGCACACCACCACCTCCTCCAGCCGCTCCACCATGGAGTCGGCGAGACGCCGACAGAGGGTCAGCGTCGGCGTGACGGCCTGCCACGCCGCCTGCACCTCCTCCCAGAGCTGCTCCTCGGTGAGGGCGACACCGTTCAGCCTAGGAGTGAGCTCATCGGTCATTATGCCCCACACATTTTCTGAAAGGAACGGGTCATGAAAGTTGATACATGTAGAATGTGGTTACCTGTAGCACAGGATTGCAGATATTTTACACGCATTTAGAGTCTCATGTATTCTATTGCATTATTGCGCAGACTTCTTCTGTTTAATCTCGCAATATAAAACTACACAAAACCGGTAGCGCACTAGAATCATGAACATAACAAAAGCCTTAACCTGTCGTCTACCCTTTAAATTCCGCAACCAATAAATAAAAGAAGGTCGCCAGCTACGAAACTGACAACGTACCTGAGATAAATCATCAACATAGCACTGTCAAACATTGATGGGGATATGTTCGAGGGTGCCTTTGTATTGATAAAACAATTGAAATCGGGACACTGTATATTTTCCGCATTTCGTTGCTGATTTTAACTTTTTCTTAAGGAGTCAGAGCAACAGCGTGCTTCTTACCGATGGGGTTCAGATCAGGCGATCGTGACGCCCAGCGGAGCACCTCCAGACGCGGCTGAGTTGCAATCCAGTCACGGACCAGTCGGGCGTCGGAGCGTTATCCTGTTGCAGGATGATGTGGTCCTTGCCGGGACGGAGCTCATCATAGCTTGGAAGGAAGTCGTTGGCGAGAGAGGGCCTTGTTGGCGAGCAGGCTGCGGTAAGTGGCAGCTGTGCCGCGACCGATGCGGTGAAGCGACCCCCTCGCCGTCGGTCCAGCCCGCCCCAGACGTGAACCGTGCATTAACCGCTCTGCTGTTGGGTGGCCACGTTCCTTGGCGCGAACCTCTCGCGCTGCCCTAGGCGCCTGTGAATTGTATCAAAACCTGCTTAATGCTTATCATACTGCCAAAAAAGGAAAACGACATGGTCCCTTCTTTATTCCAAATTTCGAGCATCCTTGTACCACAGAAACATTGGAGGTCTTCACCGTGCGTGTGGGTGTGAGTGTGTGGGGTTGTGGGGGTGTGTTTGAATGAGCGAGAGAGGGAGGGAGAGAGAGGAAGAGAGAGAGAATGTTGGATTCGTTTATTTAGGGAGTTTATCCCTCGCCCGTATTGGTGTTTTTCCAGCCGGGAACGTATGAAGGGGGGGGGATCCGTTGGGCCCCCCTTGCCATTTCGCCCGATCGAGCTAGAGCTTCGCTGAAAAAACGAGCGTGTTACCCGTGACGGGAGGAAGTCGACGATACCCAATTTTGAGGTCCTTGGTCATTGGTTGACCTTCCAGGTCAGGTTAATGACCCAAAAGACGGGAAAATTGGGACCTGTTAGAACGTCGTAGTGCGGCTGCTATGGGTTTTTTCGAGGTGCTGATCACGAATATCATGTTAGTTTTGATCACAGATGATGCCTTAATGTATTTAGGCCAGGTCGGGTCATGTCAGGTCAGGTCAACCAGTAGGGGTCCTGCCGGGTATTCGTAGTAGGTGTCAACCGCCTCTAACAGCTTCGTAACATGTTACGAAGGCACCAAAACTACTTCGTAATTGTTCATATGGTTGCTAAATTCGAATTCAGCTCCAAAAACTGGCCTAACATGTAAAACTCGAAACAGTGAACCGAGGTCATCAAAGGTCAATGACCTGACCAAATTTTCAGGGTATGTGTTAAATTGATGAACTCGAAGGTAATGAAAGTTTTGTTGCGATCGGCCGCTTTTTACGCGAGTTATTCGCGAAAAACTGACGGGGGGGTCCGTTCACCCCCACCCCCTTTACGGGCGAGGGTTAAGACACTCTCAGACAATACTTGCGAATCTAGCTTAGTTGGGGGTTAGACGGGAACATTGTGTTCGCATAGGCATTTTCAATACTGGCAAGGGATAATGATAGCTATGTTGTTGTGCTTACCGATACACGATAAGTCGCCCATGGCGACTCGTGCAAAATGTCTTCTCGTCCGAGAAAATTTAGGAGTGCATGAATCACGATTCTATATGCTTGAGATAGTTTCAGACCATTCTTGGCGCCAAAATAGCAATCATATTTCCCCATTGACTTAAAAGGGTTTAACGTAGGTATAAGTTTCATGTACCTATGGATTTTTGAAGTTTTCATCTTGCTTCCACTCAATTCTGCGTAAGATGCCGGGTTCCGTGTCTACCTAGCTTGAACGTAACGGATGCAGCGGCCGCAAACGTAAATCGAGGTCCCGAATTCCCTATTCCCCAACACAGGCGGCGGCCGCTTCCTGGTCTGCGCAACACGGCGGCACCGTTGGACACCATCTGGTGGCCAATGCGCCCTCCACATTATAATAGAGTTCAGTGAACGAAAACCACCAGTCCGTCCGCGCCACGTTTCGCCGCGCGTGAAACTGCCGCGGCCGCTGCCCTCGCCTCTACGGGCCGGCGGAGCGTGGGCGGAGCCAGGTAGCTGACGTCATCCAAGTGTGCCGTCACACGCTTCAAAATATTTTGCGCGGTGCCCGAACACGACTCTAGTATTCTGTAGTCTGTACCGGCGGACGTCCTTGTTGCAGAGCTCGGCCGCCTCCAGACATCATCCCTGTTGGAAAAAATGCAGACTCGTAGATCTGAGCCGAGTGGATGAGGAGACAATGCAGCGTTGCCGGCATGCTGTATAGTGTATATGTTACAGGCAAAGTGAAAACTCGGGCATTTTGCAAAATGCCTAGGCAATTTGCAAAATGCCTGACCGGCTAGGCATTTTGCAAAATGCCCAGGCAATTTGCAAAATGCCTGACCGCCAGGCATTTTGCGAAATGCCTAGGCAGTTTGCAAACTGCCTGACCAACCAGGCATTTTGCAAACTGCCTAGGCAGTTTACAAAATGCCTGGCGGGTCAGGCATTTTGCAAAATGCCTGAGTTGTGATTGATTTATTTTACCGTTTTTGTTTACCACAGGCGTTGACCATGTCGCTCCCATGTGCTTGAGCCCCAAACACATTCAATATTTACGAATATACCCACGTCTTGCGCCACTTCTGTCGAGATGGAACCACTACTGAATGGTGTAGATTGAGCCAACGTCTCCCTATAATTTTCGTATACGGAGTTGTAGCCGTTCGTGTGTAGGAATACTGCGATGGGGCGCGGAGCATGGCACAGAGAAACATGGGCGCGGAAAAACGCGGCGACCGGTCGAATATTGACCCGACATTCTTCGCTTCCCGTGCTTATTTACATCACGGCAAGAGAGGGCCGCAGCGACACGGGGTTGCCAGCGATCGATAGAACAGAGACAAGCGTATCCAATAAACATTTTTGTTAATCACGTGTCACGTGGAAAGAAATAGTCTATATCTTGAGAAATCAGCCATTTTTGGTACATTTCAGGAAAAACAGCATTTAAAAAACAATGGCAATGCATTGGAATGAGATGAGATACAGTCCATAGACAACAAGAACATGTGGCTTTTCCGCTTTTCCAGAAAAGCAAGTTTTTGGTCATCCACGACCCACGTGCACACCTTTGTAATAAAAAGACGCTTAGGCCTTAGAAATTACAAGTTTTACATGCAACGGGCATGTTCATCTTTACACAGTCACAATGCATTAATAATGTAGACGTGTGGCTCGCCAACCAAGCTACCATACATCGAAAGAACATTCTTTTCTAATCAATATCCACACAAAGTATTTCCAGAGTCATCAAGGCTCTTAGAAACATAACCGTGTTTAACGCGTGTTTACCGATAAAACCGCGCCGGGCGCCCGGTAGCCGGCGCGGCGGCCGGGCCGCTCGCGCTGCCTGGGGCTCAGTGACCTTGAACTCAGCAGCGCTACCCGGAGAATGTCTCACTGTATGTCCTCCCACTTGGTGCGTATCGCTTGTAGTGCCCCTGTTGGCGGCACTTACAATGATGCTTACGCATCGTCGCTGGTGTGAGTTCGATGTCAGGCATTTTGCAAACTGCCTGAGAAAATAATTTCAGGCAGTTTGCAAAATGCCTGGTGGGCCAGGCAGTTTGCAAACTGCCTAGGCATTTTGCAAAATGCCTAGGCATTTTGCAAAATGCCTGGCCGATCAGGCATTTTGCAAATCGCCTGGGCATTTTGCAAAATGCCTAGCCAGTCAGGCATTTTGCAAATTGCCTAGGCATTTTGCAAAATGCCCGAGTTTTCACTTTGCCTGTAACATATATACATCATCATCATCGTCATCATCGATCAGTTTATTAATTACACATTAACTAGACGTGCATCTTAACTTGTCGCAGACAGACGCATAAGCCGATTCGCTTAAATTGGAGCGTCGTGTCTGAAATCAAACTAATCAAATAAAAATACACGAAGCAAAACATACCACAGGGCACAGTCTCAAGTACAGCTCGGCTGTCACGGTGCAGAAGGTAGTCAACTTCGCTGTGTTGACAGGGCAGGCGCAGCTGATGACCTGGAGGATAACTTTCAGTCGAGTGATGAGCTCCTTGTCGATCCCCGTGCACTCCCGAGTTTATCTCGGGCCTGGAATGCACGTCATGCTGTGTTGCTAACATTTCAGCTCCCAACACCGCCTGACCATGCCTCACTAACTCTCATGCCCAGTTCCCCTCGGAACCGTGCTTGCAGATTTTTTGCGTCTTTGACAGCCTCATGGTTGTCTGATCCGGAAGCGCTGCGGCGCTGCAGCAGAAGTCGGCAGGAGATGAACAGCAAGTCCACAATGACTCGAATCCAGCAGTGAAGCACGCTGATGCCGAGCTCAGTGTTGGCTGGGCGGCGCAGCATCTCCTCGAGCTGATTCATCTGCCACGGAGTGGCCCAAGATACATTTAAGGAGTGGCCGCCGTCTCTGTGAGCGCTGCCACCGCATTTCCATCCAGCACAGTCAGCTGTATCCGGTAACTGTAGCACAGGGTGTCTAAAGAATGTCTTCCATGCGCTTCTTTTTCCTTTCCTGAAGAAAAACGATGTCATGTCACCGCCAGTGAAGGCATGAAAGGCCAAGAGTCCCTTCAAGACGGTTGTCGGCAGAGACTCTACGACGTCATGAATGGGGATGTATTTCTGGTCTCTGTTGGATCCGGTTCGCATCCAAAGCTGTTTTGCCGGCAGTTTCTCGCGGTGGTACGTGAGCAGCACCAGGACGTCTGTGTCGCGAGAGTACACGATGACCGTTTGCTGTCGCATGTTCGCCACGTGTAACAGAAGTCTGGTATCAGCTTCTTCGTGTATTTTGAACGCCAAAGTCAACGAACTCAACGCAGTCGATCCGAAGATTCAGTTTACTGTGGGAACAGAAAAGGGAGGTTCCATTGCTTTCCTAAATACGGAAGCAGTCCGAAGCGATAGTCGTGCAAAATTCAAAGTATATCGTAAGCCTACAAACCGGGAAGATTATGTTCATTTCTTTTCCGGTCATAGTGATACAGTTAAAAGTGGGGTGGTCTTGGGCTTTTTCTCAAGGGCTTTTCGTATTTGTAGTGAGGAGTATCGCTGAAGAAATTGAGCACATTTTTCCAGTTTCATAAAGCTTAACCCTCGCACCGACGGGGGTCTGCGCCAACTTCGCACCGACGGGGGGGGCGGATGACCGCCCCCCCCCCTGAGATCTCGAGAACGAAGCAAGATAGCGACAAGCGGTAAACGGCATCGGATACGCACGGCCAAGATCTACAATTTTTACTAAGGTCATTTTCAGGTCAGGTCAAAGATGACGTCACAGGGGTCGAAAAAGTCAAAATGGCGGCGCTATATATGGAGAGTTTTTCTCGAATAACTTTCGAATTAGTCAAGATAGGAACAAAATAAGGGCATCATCGTGATCCTCTCGTCAATCTGCATCGAATGATATATATGTTGACCTCGAAAGGTCAAGGTCAAAGGTTGACCTCAGGTCACGTGACCTCGAGGTCATCATGTATACCATTCGATGCGTCTTGACGAGCTGAACACAATGAGACCATCCACGCGTCTGTATCTTGTTCCTGTACGGAGTTATTGGCCAAAAACCTTTGGTGACCTTTGATGACGTCACATGACCTCACAGCTGCCCAACAGCAAAGCAGACCTCAAGGTAGTGAAGGTTGATCGTATATGAAGTCATGTATGGTATATGGGGCCATTCCGACCGGTTTTAGTGGTAAAAACAGGGAGTTGATTTTCCCCCATTGACTTATAATGGGGAGGTCGCGAAATTGACCTGACCTTAGGTCACCGATATCAAAATTCCGAGATATAAAAATTGTAGCTACTAATGACCTAATAATATCCTGCGACTTTCAAAGGCCTCCGACATCTACTGTAGCTCTGGCACGGTGACAAAGTTGCAAAAAAGTGACTTGAGGTTGGGTCATTCAAAGTGACCTGGTGACCTGACCTTAAAAGGTAGGAAGTTCAAACTTGCACACCATGTGTAAAATTGATGAGGTTATAGTCATACCAAATTTCGCGGCGCTACGCGCCGCGGTTTTCCCGCTATTCGCGAAAAACCTCAGGGGGGGGGCGGATATCCGCCCCCCCCGTCGGTGCGAGGGTTAAATGTCCCAAAGGCTATCTCATTCGTCTCCAGAAAAAAGCGTCGAACTTTCGAAACAGAGCAAAAGCTGAAGCGAAACGAAAGAACGACATAAGATATATTTCATTACCGAACTCAAAAGCAGCCGAAAACATCGCGAAAGAACTTGAAACGACAGGCGTCAAAGTCGCATTGACTTCTGGCAGAAAAATAGATCATGCAAAAGAAAATAAGTAAGAATGTAGGTCTTAGCGTTGTATATCAGGTACCCTATGGGCATTGTGAAAAGTCGTATATAGGTAAAACAGGTAGAGGCATGGACATAAGATTATAGGAACATAGGAGAGATGTAAGAAACGACATGGAACACAGTGCATTCCTGTATGTTTGATGCAGTGTTGCAATGCAATCCAGCCATCCAAGAAACTTTGCGCGAGACGTTTTCTTTGATGGTTTTCTTGTATAGCTTGATTTCATCTGGAGCTTCTGCTTTAAAGGAAATTTGTAAGCTTTGCTGTATTGTTAAAGGGACTATCCCACCTTTATTCGTCATCCTTCCGACGGGCCGGTATGCCCATTTACAGGAAGGTGCCCCTCCCCCTGGGCTACGGCTAATGTGGGAGCCCACCCCACTCCTGGTGACACAGCTGGGGACGACGCCCGCGGAACGGGCGGCACCGGGGATCGAACCCGGAACCTCCCGCACCGCGGGCTGACGCCTTACCAACTGCGCCACCAGGGCCGCATTAACATGGGGATTGAGTTGAGATAGCCAAGTTTGCGGCGAGGTTCAGAAACCACTATCTATCTAGGTTGCAACCGCCGCGGCCTCTTGGTGTTGAAGAAATTCGTTCCCTTCATTTGAAAATGGGCCTTGTACAAGGCCCTATCTTCAACATGGAGCGACCGTTAGTGTGACGTCACCTCGTTTAGTCATTCTGATTTAAATGGGTTTGTTCGTTGAAAAATCGCTTAAAACTTGGTCTGAACTTTGTTGTGGTGCCTACAGAGTAAAAAGAATCAGCTTTATGACAGTAATGTGGCCTGGGGAAGGAGGTAATTTTGGGCTGTGACGTCACATATTTGAAAGTTTGTGTTTGGAATATGGGAAGCCTAAGATGTTTAATGAAAAATAAATGCCAGAACCGTGTTCCTGGTCATCCAATCTATAAAGTCGGGCACAATTTAACTGGTTTTAACAACATTTTAGAAGGTGGGATAGTCCCTGTAAGTAATAAGAACTGCCTTATTTCACTTGAATAGCCGGTGGTAAAGTAACGTAAAACGAAAGATCTGGCTCATTGCCAGCTATTAGCTTCCCCTCCCCGGTATGCCTTAGTGCAACCGGGATGCAAAATTCAAAAAAAAAAATACCCAACGTGTACTTAATGTAACTGTATTTTATTTCTGCAAATTAAGGCCTTCTTAAGCTGATAAACGATATTATGAAAGTGTAAAGTCATTCTTGTAGTGCTCTTTGTATGTAAGGCATGTAGGTGATTGGTAAATTCCTTTTTAATGACCTCCTTACAAATTATTTATGTTTTTGATGTATTTAGCTTGATACAAATTTTCGGCCACGGGCCTTGATCACATATCAGTTTAAACACAGACACGAAAGACACACAGACACCAATGCAGTTACAGTTTTGCCAGTTTTTCAGTTTCTGTACAACTTCGCGTGATAAAAAAGCACAATATACCTACAGTTCTAAGGAATATGTTAGATGGGCCCAACAAAAACGATCATAGACAACCTAATAGGTCAAAAATTAACTTTAAATTCGTTTTCGTATTCGATTCATTCATCTACTTTTCGACGTTCACTCATGTACATGCACATAAAACCCGATAACTACATAATGTACCACGATGATACATTTCGATTCAGTTGCGGCTTTAGCTTTCGGATTTGTAGCGACTCACTTATCTTTCGGTGTGGATGGTCGCCGGTTTTTTGAATGATTTCCACCGTTAGAGGAATTTCACCCCTTTGAAGTTCTAATTCTCTGTGAGCCGATCTAAAGTGATCACCAATGGGTGTGTCTCGGGTCTTGTTCTTGGCGCTTACGACATGCTCATTAAAACGTAGCCTAATAGGCCGTTTTGTCTCGCCCACATATGTTACTTCTTCTCCACCTTTCTGGCAGACGCTACATGTGATTCTATACACTACACCTGCGGTTAGGCACTTCCCTTTCAATCCCGACTCACAAGTATTGCAAACTCGCGACCCTGCTGGGCACTTGGGATGGGAGAGGGCAGAACGTGTGAGGCGGCTTTTCAATGTGTTCTTGCTTTGCCAGGCTACTCGCAAGTTTAAATCAGTTTTTCTCACGATGGCATTGACTTTGGCACAGACGGTCTCGTCGATATATGGTAGAGTCAGGTACCCGTCTAGCTGCTGTACTTGCTGCTTTTTGTGGTGCCGGTGCTCTCCATTTGTCGTCGGATGTGTCTCTGCTCGGGTAGCCTCTCGTTGCAGCCTCCGCACCAACTGTTTTCTGTAGCCGTTTTCTTCGAATAGCTGCTGTATCTTCTGGCAGGAGCGGGCACGTGCCGCTGCATCTGACGACAGTCTGATGGCGCGTCGAAACTCGGCTCGTATCACTGCCTGCTTGGTCTTCATGGGATGTGATGATGTTTGATGGATGATGATCCCGGAGTGATTTGGCTTTATATATAGCTCTGTTTGGTACTTGGAATTTGAGTTCACAGTGATGAGAGTGTCCAGAAACGGTACGTTTCCAGACTTACTGCTATCTTCCAGAGTGAACTTGATTCTCGGGTGGATGGAGTTGAGGTACTCGAGGAACTTGTTCAGCTCGTCTCGTCCGTGAGTCCAGACTCCAATGGAGTCATCAATATACCTCGAGTAGAACTCTGGTTTCAGCACTGCATTGTCCAGTGCCCGCGTTTCGAATTTGTGCATGAATATGATGGCTACTGGGGGTGCCACCTTGTTGCCCATGGCGATGCCGACTCGCTGTCTGTAGAACTCGTTGTCGAATTCGAATACATTGTTTTCGAGGCAGTGGGTGAGAAGGCGGGTGACGTCATTTGGTTCTAGTCCACACAGGTCGATTTCGGCTCGGTGTTCGTCTATCATATCGGCATATGATAGACGTCGATTTCGGCTCGGATAGACGAACACCGAGCCGAAATCGACCTGTGTGGACTAGAACCAAATGACGTCACCCGCCTTCTCACCCACTGCCTCGAAAACAATGTATTCGAATTCGACAACGAGTTCTACAGACAGCGAGTCGGCATCGCCATGGGCAACAAGGTGGCACCCCCAGTAGCCATCATATTCATGCACAAATTCGAAACGCGGGCACTGGACAATGCAGTGCTGAAACCAGAGTTCTACTCGAGGTATATTGATGACTCCATTGGAGTCTGGACTCACGGACGAGACGAGCTGAACAAGTTCCTCGAGTACCTCAACTCCATCCACCCGAGAATCAAGTTCACTCTGGAAGATAGCAGTAAGTCTGGAAACGTACCGTTTCTGGACACTCTCATCACTGTGAACTCAAATTCCAAGTACCAAACAGAGCTATATATAAAGCCAAATCACTCCGGGATCATCATCCATCAAACATCATCACATCCCATGAAGACCAAGCAGGCAGTGATACGAGCCGAGTTTCGACGCGCCATCAGACTGTCGTCAGATGCAGCGGCACGTGCCCGCTCCTGCCAGAAGATACAGCAGCTATTCGAAGAAAACGGCTACAGAAAACAGTTGGTGCGGAGGCTGCAACGAGAGGCTACCCGAGCAGAGACACATCCGACGACAAATGGAGAGCACCGGCACCACAAAAAGCAGCAAGTACAGCAGCTAGACGGGTACCTGACTCTACCATATATCGACGAGACCGTCTGTGCCAAAGTCAATGCCATCGTGAGAAAAACTGATTTAAACTTGCGAGTAGCCTGGCAAAGCAAGAACACATTGAAAAGCCGCCTCACACGTTCTGCCCTCTCCCATCCCAAGTGCCCAGCAGGGTCGCGAGTTTGCAATACTTGTGAGTCGGGATTGAAAGGGAAGTGCCTAACCGCAGGTGTAGTGTATAGAATCACATGTAGCGTCTGCCAGAAAGGTGGAGAAGAAGTAACATATGTGGGCGAGACAAAACGGCCTATTAGGCTACGTTTTAATGAGCATGTCGTAAGCGCCAAGAACAAGACCCGAGACACACCCATTGGTGATCACTTTAGATCGGCTCACAGAGAATTAGAACTTCAAAGGGGTGAAATTCCTCTAACGGTGGAAATCATTCAAAAAACCGGCGACCATCCACACCGAAAGATAAGTGAGTCGCTACAAATCCGAAAGCTAAAGCCGCAACTGAATCGAAATGTATCATCGTGGTACATTATGTAGTTATCGGGTTTTATGTGCATGTACATGAGTGAACGTCGAAAAGTAGATGAATGAATCGAATACGAAAACGAATTTAAAGTTAATTTTTGACCTATTAGGTTGTCTATGATCGTTTTTGTTGGGCCCATCTAACATATTCCTTAGAACTGTAGGTATATTGTGCTTTTTTATCACGCGAAGTTGTACAGAAACTGAAAAACTGGCAAAACTGTAACTGCATTGGTGTCTGTGTGTCTTTCGTGTCTGTGTTTAAACTGATATGTGATCAAGGCCCGTGGCCGAAAATTTGTATCAAGCTAAATACATCAAAAACATAAATAATTTGTAAGGAGGTCATTAAAAAGGAATTTACCAAGTGTAAAGTCATATTTAAACCCAGGTATATTAATGATAATAAATCGTTTAGCGGACTGACTCTGGGTGTAAAGAAGCTATTTTTCCCTGTACTTCGACCTTTATTGACAGGTCGTCAAAGGGGCAATGCGATTCAAAAAACAAACAATAATCATGCTATACTGCCATTCACGAAATTCTCAAAATGATCGATGCTAAAACACGTGACACAACTTACAGACAGTTCGTACTCCAGTAGGTCTACTTTTTCAAAACACTATCCCATATAGGGCTAAGCGAGAACTTTCCGACACCCTGATTCAGTGATGGGTTGCATAATCGAATCTCGATGGCCTCCCTTACGACATGGCGGGACCATGTTGGCTCGACCGCCAGCGTGCTAGCCTGACCTGGGTCAAATGGTTGGCGACACTGGAGCCAGTGTTCAGCTAAAAGGGATGTGTCTGACCTCCCATGCTTTATGGCTGCTACGTGTTCTTTAACCCGCGAGTTGCTGGGGGGGGGGGCGTTAAACGCCCCCACTTTTTCGCCGGGCCATAGCATAAAAATGGCGCGCCAAATTTTGGGTACCTGTAGGGAATTGATTGAAGTTTATTGTGACAAAGTTTCAAAAAAATCGGTCGGAAAATTTTTGAGATATCGAGGTTTTAGTGACGTCATGATTTCTGACTTTTCGACCAAAAACGGCATATGTTAAAAAAAACATATAAAATCACAGAATAGACATACAGACATGCCGTAAACGCCATTAGACTGCCAATACCATGATCAATCAAATGGCTATCTTCGATTATTGATTATCGTTCTGCATTTTCCAAAATATACTTCACTATATACTTCACTATATACTATACAATACTTCACGACCATGATACATGAATTTCTTAAATTGAACTTTTTGAGCCAAACACGTACACATATGATAAAATGAATGTCACCATCGTGTTCTACGCCCCAAATTACCTATAAAACATGTGTCACAGGCTGCGAATATCAGTTTTGATTTTCGGGGATATGTGCCTACCCGGTTGACCTGACCTTGACCCTGACCTATGCTTGACTGACCCCTATATGAAGCTGACACTCTTGTAGGCCTTATATGATGGATTGTGCACCGTTTTGACAGAGTTTATGGCGAGAGGCGCCCATTGCGAAGTCCTGAATCCATGCTACTGAAAGCCCGATTTCAGGTGTTTGACCTGACCTTGACCTGACCTGTGACCTCAAAATTCAACTTTAAAATACTCATCTGAAGCGTCTCGTCGCGCTCTTTCGTTTGCCGCCTCGTGCGTTTCGCTGCGCCTATTGGTTCTCGAGTTATCGGCTGGGGGCGTTTAACGCCCCCCCCCCCCCCCAGCAAACGGAGGGTGGCGAAATACCCCAGCAACTGCCGGGTTAAGTCGCATGCTTTTAGGACGCCCGGTCTCGCCAACATACGTGGCACCACAATCACAAGTAGTCTTGTAAATGACACCTTTTTGCAAATCCTTTGGTGGTACGTCCTTGGCTTTAACTAGTTTGTCCCTGAGTGTTGGCTTCGAGCTATATCCTAACCGAATCTGGTGGGGCGCTAAAATCCTAGCAATTCTTTCGCTGGTTCCTTTGACGTAGGGGATGCTAATGTACAGCCCTCTGCAAACTGCGTGGTAGGTATTCTTTTTTCGACAAAACCGAGAATAACGCTGATACTATGCTATAGGTCACTCGAAAATCGTAACAGCAAGACGCGCGAGGCTCCGCACCTTAGATTGGCATTACCATCGTATTCATTTTCCATCCAGTTTGGCAACAAAACCCAAAAGTTTATATTTGCCCCCAAAACAAACATTTGCATTTTGTTGCTACACAAGGCATATACTTTGTTTAGTGATAGACTCAATCGAAGGAGCGGAGCATGGCGCATCTACGTGCAATGAGTTCCGATCGACTGATAACATAGTCTTTGAGTTATTACCGGTTTTGTCGAAAAAAGAATACCTACCACGCAGTCTGCTGAGGGCTGTACGTAGTACGGGGTCGTTCGGTTGTCTGGTCGTCCGGTACGGCCGGATCTGTCCGGTCGGGTCGCCCACCGGTCGGTTGGACTCGGTTATCGCCATCGGTCAGCTCCTGTCTCTGCTGCTCCGTCGCAGCCCGCTGTTTGGGCTTCAGCGCTCGTCTCACGTAATGTCTCGGGTAGCCATTTTCCTCGAAAACTTTTTTCTAGAATGCCCCATTCCACGTCAAATCGAACAAAAATCGGCTGTTTTGCACCTTACCATCAGCGATTTCATTATAAATTTGTGAGCGAGTTCCTGTGTCGCCCCGGACATAACATTGATGTTTTTTGCACGTTCTGACCACAGGTCTTCTAAATATAGGGCATCAAATTTTTACAAAATGTTGCATCTTTATATTTTTGAACGACCATAACTTTGGTTGTACTTGATTGATTTGAATGAAATAAACCTTACTGTTTAGGTAATTTCTTAAGCATTTGTTTAGAATTGCATCGACTTAAATATATGACCTTGAAATTTGCTTAACTCTGTTCTTAAGCACAAAAATTGAAATAGCAAAAAACACGCCACCTTCGATTTGGCTCATTTTCATATATTTTATTGCCTACCATATTCTTAACAACCTGTGAAAAAATTAGAGTGGGCCATTCATAAGTTTTGAAGAAAATGGCACATATGCAAACGTATGTTAGCACGCGCAGTGGAGGGGGAAGAGTGAATTTCGCCCCACCCTTTTGTTTTTCGCCAATATCTCATAATATTGATGCGAAATTACTTATGGCTACCTGTCCAGAATTGAATTGCACATCTCATCGTGCAAGCAATAAGAAAATCGGTTCACAACTGTTCTAGTAATAGCGGTGTAAAGTGAACATCCTGTCGCCGCGGCGACTCGGCAGCCGGCGCCGACCGCTACGCGCCGCCTGAATTGTAGACTGTGCCGGGACGGAACGGAACGGTTCCGTCTTTACATTGCGCTCCTTACCGCTGATTACGTTCGATTCGCGTCAAATTTTGTGAGAAGACTAAGAAATGTACAGGCAATCTTATGGTGAAAGAATTCTGAAAATAGGTTGGTAAACAATTGAAATATGAACGTGTAAACACAAAATTGTGACTGCTGCGTTTCCCGCGTCGGCCGATCCCGCCTCAGCCGGCGACATGTTACTCTTAGGCCTTAGCAGGACTCTAACTGCCATATTTATTATCGGATTAACTAGAAATTCCCCATACATACTCAAAAATGTATGTTCTTTCGTATAGTGAAGATCAAAAGACGTGAAGATATCGTTGCGTGACAATGTTCTCGTTGAATTTATGTCATGATGCATTTCCACACGGCTCAAAATTCACCGCAAAATA